TTAACTGAGAGAAAAAGCTAAAAAACCCCTGAAGGAAAAAGAACCTCACCTTTCATCTGTGGAAATACATTCCCAATCCATTGTCTGGTTTTGCCTATTTTAAATAGTCTTCTGGAAAGAGATCTGGATGACCCTTGAGTTAACGCTCTGTATCTCTTGGTGGAATGAAATTGCTGAGTGAAGAAGGAAGGATTCTGCTAAACTGCTGAAGTTCCACTGCAGCCTTTTGCTATATAGGAAACAAGGAACCTACAGACTGTTTAGAAAAATAGAGACAATGCAGAGAAATGCTCAATCTGTAGGTTGAAGACATTTAGAATATTGATCACACACTGTAGTGCTCAGGATAAACTCCAGGAAGATCACTGGTCTCACTTTCTAACTTTCAGATGAGAAATATTTTAAGGAATATCCTTTCATATTATTAAATTATAAAGGCACTGACGTAAGAGGCACACGCATGTCACTTTGAGCAAGAAGAAGATACCTTGAAAAAAAATCATCTGCCTGTGTAGGCATCTAATATTATCAGATATGGCTTGCCTTTTCTTACTGCATTATATGGAACCAGGAAAGAGCAGCCAATGGAAAAAGTACATTTGTTATGGACAGCTTTTACAAGTTTCAGGGCACTTTGTTTTACAGTTTAGAAGGTAACACCAACCGTCCAGATGGTGAGGCTAATGAAATAGCCCCTGGAGGTGTTTAAAAAAAAGACTGGATATGGTACTTAGTGCTATGGTTTAGCTGATGAGCTGGTGTTAGGCCATAGGTTGGACGTGATGATTTCCAAGGTCTTTTCCAACCTATTTGATTCTGTGATTCTGTGAAATCTGTCTGTCTTAAAACACTGAATCTCCCTTCCCACAAAGTCAGCAGTTCCAGAGCTACCTGGTATCCAGTCATGTAGGAGAGTCATTTTATTAGATATATGGTGAAATTTTGTATAAAAGGAAGGTAAAAAGCCTTCCCTTCATGCAATGACCTAGTAAGGAGAGTTGTGATAAATTCATGAAATAACGTGAGATGGTAGACACCAAGACACATTAGAGCTGCAGAAGTGTTTAAGATAGCTATCTGTCTGAGTTATTTGGCAGTACGCCTGCAGTTCCAGAAATAAATTCCTATCAGTTAAAGGCTCATGTGTCACTGCTGTTCCAGCTGATGAATGTGCAAACCTCCAGGTGGATGATTTGGAATTAGCTGTGGGTTAAATTGAATAAGAGGACTGCAGCAGATAAGAGCTGCATAGCAATAAAAATAATTTATTTTTCTTCTTTTAGCTTCACTACTCATCACTGTCTCTGTGAAGACAGTTCTGGCTTTTGTAATTTTTATCATTTTTATTGGTATGCACAATATAGCAATATACAGTTGAGAGCTGATTAAGGAGAACATGAGAAAGAGAAGGTTATCAAAATGCCTAGGGTGTTTTAAACTGCACCCCTACTTTTTGGTTAGAAAGTTATATTAAAATTGTGTGGCACAGCAGTTCCCCATTACTGCTGGACATTGAGAGAGCATAAACTGGCTACAAGTTTTTATACCCTTATTCTTGGAAGAGTGGCTGTAAAAAAAGGAGCTGTCAATATGGTAAGCATCAGAGCCAGGAAAACAGAGAAGACTGAATTAAACAGACCAATATTTTTTATACAGTCTTAGTTGCCTTGAAAATGCCGCCCTCAATAAAGAAAAACTATGCCCAAGAACTTTTAATTGAAGGGGAGAATAAGAGGACTGACTTTAGATCTTCCTGGGAAACAAAAGTGATTATTTAAAAAACCCTCACAATCCCTTCTGCAACTTTGACAAGGAAGAAATGTAATGTGAAGATACTTGGTTTTGAGGTTTTACATAGCCAAATGTGTTCATTTCACTGCTAATTTGGTTTTTCCTACCTCTGTTCCCTTCCTTGGAAGGGTAAAAAGAAGTACTAAATAACAAAAAAGAAATAGTTGAATAAATGTAAGTCTCTAATATGAAATTATATGATAAAAACATGTTCTAGAATGCTAAAATACATTTCTTACATTTCTTGTGGGACAGCACACGAAAATGTTAACTTTTTCCAATTTGCAAAAGAAGCAAAAGAACATCTGAAGGTGAATGAGGATATTCTTACTCCTACAGAAGGATATGGCACATAGATGTATGCAGACCACAATGGCATTTTGAATGATGCAGATCACAGAAAGTATTTTTTTTGTTTTTTTTTGATCTCTAAGGTTTTTCAGTGGCTGCCAAAGCATGGAGCAGTAAAGCAGTGAGAGTAAGCCAAGTTACTGGGAACAAGCAGAGGAGTGCATTCAGGAACCTGCCAGCCTGCAGCCGCTTGCCTTGCATAAAAATCAATTTTTGATAACCCCAGAGCAGAATGAATTACACAGCAGAATATGTCCTCTGCTCTCACTGTAAGAGCAGAAGGCAGTAGTGTCTGAAGCTTCTTTCTTGATTTAGGACAGTGGAAAAATTGGAATTATTTGCTTCCATCTTCTGTTTATGAACAAAGGCAGAAAATTGGCAATATGAATGGACTTAGCAGAATCAGTCTTCCAAAGAAGGATCTGCTGGGATTGTCTGTTTTCAGCAGGGCTCACAAGCAGCCATGAGCAGAAGTGCAAGAGAAGCCTACGCTCATCATCTAACACGGGAATGTTCCACTTCCATGAAAACTCACACAGTACGGAATTGTTAAATAAATATTACCTGTTCAAGATCTAGTGGCGGAAGGCACCTGATTGTGCATCATTTGTCTCAATACTACCACTAAAATCAATTGATTGTGCAGAGGGTTTGCAGGATCACCCCCACAAAGGAAAATGGTTTCCATTCTTTTATTTCGGCTTGGAATATTTCTAGTATTCTTGCAAAATATGGCTGAAGGTGACTATTAGAGTAGACTAATTAATAATTAGAGATCAGGATAGCCAACTCAAATTTAATCACCTTCTTGCACTACTTAAAATATCACTGTCATCCTCAAATTAAGTCCATACCTCCAAGTGCATGACACAGGTTTACAGAGCAGTTAATTTGCTAATTAGAGTTAGCAAAATTTTTAACATATATTTTGAAATCAGAAGGTTATCATTGGTTTAGTAGACATCAGATTGGGAAGATTTTTCTAAAAATAAAGCTTTGATTCTGCCTCAAAATATTTCTTCTCTGTGCTTCTAATTTGAATTTTGTCAGTCCTTACAGAAGTAATTCCCTTCCACGACTGAAACACAGCTATGTCTCAGATATTTGAGACAAGTTAAAAACAGAAGAAAGATTTTGAAAAACTAAAATTAACTTTTGGGTTAGTTCTTTTTTTCTCCTCCTATTAAAACTCAGTGGAAGAACAGAGAGCAACAGCAATGAGAGAGAGTGATGTTTCAAAGAACATGACAGCATTTCTGCTCCTTTAGAATTACCATTGCATTAGTTTTTGCTTGTTTGCAGGGTTTTCCTGTTGAGGGAAAAGGAACTCCTTTCAAGTCACATCCACTATTCATTTTTTCATCAAATACTGCCTGGAAGAGACACACATTTTTTGAGTTCATTAAAAAATTATCTCCAAAAGAGAAAAGAAATAGAATTGCTGCTTTAATTATCTTTTAACTTCAATCTTTTCTAACAATTTGTCATGCAAAGGGTAGTGAAAAGCTATTGCTATTTAATTCTGATTGTGTTTTGTTTGCTTAATAATAATTGTGTAGACAGTCTGTAAAAGACATCACTTAGTTTAATACTGCAAAACTAGTTTTCGAAAAAATGGGTAGTTTAGAATTGAATGGTCAAAACCTTGAAAAATACAAAATTGTTTTCAGTGTAAAATATAGTTGGAAATTTTGGAAAAGAATGAAAAGAACCTCTTTCCCTATGTGGCAGCTATTTCATGTTTAATTCAAGTGTCACAACTGAGGTCCTGTAATGCACTATTCAAGCCACAAGTGTTCAGTCTTTAGCTCAGGCACAGGGAACAACTACTGTGAGTAAATATTGCAGTGTTTAATGTTATGAAAAGAAAAAAAAAGGCCCTTGGCACACATGTTTTTTCAATTTTATAATACAACTTTGAGAGAAAAAATAAGAATGTGTGGGCATACTTTTTCAGCAGATTGAAATCCAAAGAAAGTCACATATTCCTGGTGCTATTATAATTTTTACTCATGGGCTATGCACTGTGAACTGCTACAATGACACAAACAAGAGGAATCTTGTCCTGCTTCAAGTATAGCACTTTAGAAATCAATGACCATCCTGTGTTCAATGAGTCATAAAAAACACATTTAAAAGCTTGAAAAATTGTAGAAGTTATGCCTACAGCTGCCTCACAGATAGGCAAGTCTTACTTATATTCAAATTATAGCTTTCTTCCCTGTCTGCCTTTTCACCTCTAAGTCAAAACCAATATGGGTAAGTGTAAGTGGCTAATTCAATGAATCTCAGACCTCTGCAGAAAGTCATGTCCACGTTTGGATCCTACCAGACATTTCTTAGTGTCTCTTGGTGGTTGTTCTATATCAAAACCTGTGGTATCAAGCAAATTTAAATACAAATGAGCATTTTCATCAGCTTTGGCTTATTTGCTTGTGACAGTGTACATTTCTCTGAGCCTTAGGGATATGGCAGCATTTTGAAGAAAGTATGAGAATGAAAAATAAAAATTACATATTTAAACTTTGCCTGAATTGTGAATAGCTCCTATGGTAAGGGACAATAGTAGAGATTTTAATATACAATAGTTATTCATAAACATCGCTTACACTACAAATTCAGCTGAACTTTGTAAGAACCTTTTTCTTAAAACAAATAGCAGTTAGGAGAGAATTCTTCCGTGTTTTTCTTTTTCAAGAAATTACATGTTAAAATTCTTCATCAGGCTCTGTGATAGTAAAAGTTAATGTGGTCTTTTTAACTGGAGATGAAACTGACTGTGTCCTTCACTTTTTCTGCACTTTCACCATCCATCCGCAGTGAGAAAACACAGCAGTCTTCACTGCTACAGGCAACATTTAAAGATAGAGGTATCCAACCCAGTAGACCAGGTTAAACAGCAGGAAGGATGTAGGAAAAAAGACCCTAGAGTAAGAGTCCAGTTCTAAGATGTCTATGTGAATCCGTCCTCTCCTCCATGAGCCCGATTTACACTCTTCATAACAACAGAAAAAGCTCTGACAGTCTTTCCCGTCCAGACATTCATAGACACACGCATCTTCAAAATCTTGCCAATACATGGCATTGTTCAATGTGATGACTGTAGTTGGTGGTCTCATATCAAGTACAGAATAATTCTGAGGAGAGAAAAAAATTGCAACAGTTTGACAAGTTTCGCTGGATGATGCAGATCAAAATTAATAATCACAGCAGAAAGCAATCATTTTTTCACACTTAGGAATTCACTTACCTGTCAGAATATAATTTGCAAGTTGTTTTAAATACTTGTAGCTACTACATTTAAAATGGATTCTCAAAACTAAGGAAGATATTCCCCCTCTCCACTTAATTATACAATGTCCTCCACTTCACATAGGTGCATTCACTGCCTCTTAACTTTACTGTGATTTATGGGAACAGATATGGTCAGCAATAGATAGTGATTATTACAGTACAGGATTTCAAAAGCCATCCCGAGGCAAGTCCCCTTAGTGCTTATCACACATGCTCAGAAATAGGAATTTTGATGTTATGCATCCTCACAGCAGCATTCACGCTTACAGACCTTTCCTTCTCCCATGTACTCCCTATTTACATTTTGTCAGCTTTTCTGTCACATCATTTCTTTGGCATGCAGGATGCCTTCCCACAATAGTCTGCCCTCTCATTAAACAACCCATTCCATCTTCACAAGTGTCACCTCCTCTGCTGACATCACTAGAAAAGGTCCCATCAGCTTCGCTGCCTGTCTCTACTGTCCAGACAAAGCAGACCCAGCCCTGTCAGCCTGGTTTATCTACCTGAGGCCCTTCCTCTCCCTGGCACTGTGCCGAGCATTGGCTTTGCTTGCAGGAATGTACTGGCTGTGCCAGGAACAAGCTGGTCACAACTGCTTGCATTTAGGAGGATGCTCTGGGGCTCTTGCTTCCATACTATACAAAGTACTCAACATTTCCTGCTGAAGGTTAGGGGGTATCTGAAAACCTTCCTCCTGGATGTCAAAAAGCATTAGTGATATGACTGATGTGCCTCAGCATAAATGTTTCCTTTATATATTAATTTGCTTTCTACAAATCTTTTGGTTCGACATGCTATAGTATTACCCATCTCATTAAAAATGCTGGTCCCTGAGCTAAGAACTTGATGTGGCATCCCTCTACTTAGATGTTGGCACTGCCAATGCAGATAACTACACCTGAACAACTGCCCTATTGGAATCCAGTCAATTACTTCTGGACACAATTCATTTTATCATAAGTAAATGCTAAAATGTCTCAGGTGCATTCTGCTGTGAACTGCAAGCAGATTGCAGTTTAGAAGCAGATTATTGCAAATGTCTTTGATGTGAATGACTTTATCTCTGAGATTAGATAACAAAAATTACACCCGTATGGTCTTCTCCCTCTTTTGTAAAGTTTTGTGTGGCTTGTTTCAGAGCCTTACAGTGTGTTGCCATGTGAAAAAGATATAAGATTATTGTACAAGCAATCTTTTTTGACTCTAGTACTATGGAAAGAAAAGACTATGACTAGAGTACACACAGAGTTCTGCTATACGACTTTGCCATATATTGTACATTTATTGCAGGTCTTTATGAACATTTCCAACTCAGGGACTGAAATTTTCCATGCCTGTCTAAAATATTTATGTTAAAATAAAAAAGGCTCAGAGAGGTTTTGGTGAGTGATGATAAAAAAGTGCTCTGGCTCTGCAAAGGAAACTTCCTCATCTCTGGGGTATTTTGTTGTTGTTTTGTTATATCAACTATCTGCTCAGGACAGAAGATAAAATAATTGCCCTAATAATTCAGAGAGATTCAACTGGTTGTTTTAATCTCTGTCACGTAGGAGATATCCTGAAGTGACAAGATACGAGGGGAAGGCGGATGGTCCCCCCACGTTCTGTGTGTCCAGCTGAGCTGGGGATGGGAGGAGAGTAGTGCACACGCTGTGGGCACCATGCCAGTCCCACCCAGGAGGTCTGCCAGGGCAAGGCACTTCTCCAGGACCTTGGACAAGGAAGTTTAGGCGCAGTGTTAAACATGCTTAATAATATTGCTTCTGACAAGGTATATATGTGTGTTTTCTAGGAGGAAAAGAAAAGGCTTGGCATTGCCTGAACATGGATTTACTAAGATTAATAAATTTCACCTTTTAAGCGTCATCACTACAAAGCTGAAAAAGACAAAATGATATCTTGAGAGCCAGAGATATTGCTTATTTAAGCTCTAATTAGAAGATTTATTTGTATAGACAAAGGTCTTCAGTATAGACAAAGTTGTTCAGTAACTCTATTAAGGAGAAAAAAACCAGCTAGTAAAAAACTTGAAGAGTGAGTAAAAAACTTGAAAATGCTGCAGATGCTTTCCAAGCAGATCAGAATGACTAGTTCTAGATAAAGGTTTTTAAACACTAATGTAATTTTAATTCTCTTTCCCTATAGCTTTTAATTGGAAAAAGGAAAGTGCTGCTACCCATTCAACATGCTCTGTTAACTTCACCTTCCAGAAAAGTCTGTCCAGGGAGTGACAGCAGTAGAAAGTGGATAGATGTGATGCTTGCAGTCAACCACTAATTGCCAATGAGCAGACTTTCTAAATTATATGAGGTCTTAAAATACATCAGAGAACTCATGTTTTTTTTAAAAAAGTGTATATTATTATTTGAAAAATGACAGGCTAATAACATGGATCTGGCAGTTTTAAGAGAGAAACTTCATCATATTCAATCTAAGAAATGCAAACCCCAGTGTTTTAGTTCTGGCTCTGTTCTTATCTGATGGCAGACCATTCAACCAGCTGGTTAACTGCTTTATATTTGCATATACTACAGCAGGTATTCATTAACTCAGAGACACAATTTTGTGCTCTATTCCAACTTCATTGCTGCTGCACATATTCCATTTGTAGACAGAGTACAACTACCTCTGTTTAACTTGTGTGCCTAAATTTGAAAATCCACCTGAAAGCTTACTAAAGGTTTTGCATATGCATAAATGAACTTTTTTATTCTGTGAAACTTAATTAAAACTCCATAGAAGTTTATGACATAACTTGTGCTTATTACTTTCTCATAAAATGTAGTGAGAAACTTCTGTATTATATAAAGTGACACTCAAAATTTCTGAGGTAAAAATAACACATAATATTCTATACTTGACCCTCCTCCCTCTCATATCACTTGATAAGTCCTTATAGAAAGGGGCAGCTATGTTCCTCTGCCACAGCTGAAAACAAACTGACCTTTTAACAAAAAAGCAAACCAATATTTTTAGTGAAGTCAGGGTAAAGCATAACACAGCAATACAGCTCTCTCAGGAATTAGTGCAAGTAAATGTCAACCATCTATTCATGCCCCCAATTCACTCACTGAATAAAGTAACTTACTTACCATTACATGACCAAAACTTACATCAGGTAGCTTAAATAAAGATACAAAAAAATTATTCAGAATAAAACATACTTAGTGCTTCACATGCATCTATAGTCAACAGCATTCCTTCGACCAAGCCCTTAAATGCATAAAACACTCCAAGCAGTGTGTTCTATATATTCAACATAACCTCTACACTTGAAAATGGCATGAAGCTTCAGCAAAATACACATCTAGTTTTCATAGACTTAAAATCTTTATTTAACTCATTAAATGATCAAACAATAGGTAATTGAGCATTTTTTCTTGTGTTAATTTAAATCGCGTCAATGTTGCATTCTTTCTCACATCTTCATTCATATGTCTGGAATTACATCCTACTAACAAAGATACTCATGACTTTTTAATTCAGTATTTCTATAGGATGGCAATTTTAGTTCGATCATTTTGGTCTCAAACTTTTCTTTTGGTAACAATCTTTTGCTTTTGTGAGCAATGCATTTTTGCAAGAAACTATTTTAAGTTTAATGGAGTTGTCATTGACTAAGTCTGTGGCTTTCTAGACTTTCTTTAATCCCGTATTTGTTTCAGCTTTTCCTTCATTAGTTCTTCATTCAATCATTTTCTATAGCTCTTCATTCAACCCCTTTTTACATCATGACCTATTATTCCCTAAATTTAGGCTTCTCTCTCTTCAATTTCCTTCTTCACATTTTTCCTATTTGGCTTTGATTTCTGATTTCAAATGTCCTTATTTCCTCCATTACACACAATGGCATCCAATATCTCCAACTACTGATCTTGAACAAATAATATTTATCACTGATCTTGAGTGGTCAACCCCCTTCCGTTATGTTTACACTGAGATTTTTTTCTCTGTTAAATTGCACCCTCTCATTCTCATAGTCACACTAAACCAGGCAATTCTTCCTGCATTATTGTTTTAGTTGATTCTAAATAGATAGCTTTTATGTTTTTACGGGTGTTACACTTAGAAGTTGGTTTTTGGCCAAAAATGAGCCATGCCTAAAACCTTTTTAAGTGACCTCCATTTTTGTCCTTGGGAACGTGCACCGTTGTGCACAGGGCTTAAACCAAATGCTGGTTCCCAGCAGAGACAATGAAATTCTGCTCATAAATATTTCTAGGCCTGTTAAACCATGAAATAGCAATGCATTTGAATATACATTGGTGTGCACTTATTTGTATAACAAGCTATGCAATCTGTTTCAGTGGGAGACTTTACCAACTACCAGCACAGTAATTGGAGGACAAAGGATGTGTAGGCAGGGTTGCTGTTCCATGGTGAGCAGGCTGCTTCTGCTAGGAACAGACCTCACTCAGCAGGCATGTAACTGCTCCTTCTGCTGCTGTGGGTGACTTTTCCATCAGCTTTCAGGGCAGATCACACCACTGGGAAAATCTTGGAGGAGTGAAGTGCCATGGGATTACAGGCTACCACTGAATGATTATCTGCTCTCTGAGCTGCACATGAAAAGAAATGTAAATGCTCCCGTCTTACCGACTTTTTCTTCTTAGTACAGTTTGGTTTCCGGCAACTTGAGTAGTAGTTGAGGGTGGCATACTCCATCAGAGCAGCAAATACAAATAGAAAGCATACAGTCACAAACAAATCCATGGCAGTGACGTAGGAAACACGAGGCAATGACTTTCTTGCAATGGTACTCAGAGTTGTCATGGTCAATACTGTGGTGATGCCTGCAGAGAGAAATTTGAGTTAATTGTGTGCTGCATCACTTTTTCATATCACAGAAGAATCTTTGGAAATAAACATACAAACCAGAAATCCAGAGTGTAGCCAAGTAATTAATGAATTTGGTAGTATTAAGAAATAATGGAAAATAGTATTGTAGGGACAAAGTTATTTTGTAAACACAGATTTGCTCTGTTGTTTATTTTCATCTTTGCAAAAAGTGGCATTCCTATGCGTCTCATTATGCTTTTCTGCATCTCTCCCTTTTTCCAGTCCCAGTAAGGTTGAAGATGGGGGTGAGGGAGAGAATGAAGAAATTTTTGAAGAGAAGTATGAAGCAGAAAAGATACTAAACCCAGAAAAATAAAATCAAGAAAGTTAGTAAGCAGTGAAGGAAACATGTTCTATTCCACAGTAGTATTGATCTCAGGAAATATCTTATGATCAAAAAAGAGGTGGGGGAAAAAAAAATCTGCTAAGATCTGACCATGAATTGTGAAAGTATGTCTTCACACCACTGCTTCCTTGGGAGTCCTCCAGTGTCATTTTCCTTCTGAGTAAGGGAAGTCAATGTTACTTGCTCAGTCAGAGTAAGACTCTCATACAAACTTCAGATGCAACATGAACAGAAATAGCCTTTTTAATTCATACAAAACATCACTTCTGAGATTGATTTAGTAATAGTGAACAAAACGGGATTAGTGTGAAATATCCAAAATGATAAAACCAGTGCTAAAATGAAATCTATGTCATGTAAGTTATTTGATGCCTAGTAATTCATACAATTTCTCTTCATTCCTGAGGAATGAAGCAGTCTTTTCATTCCCAACTTGTTATGAACTGCATGTCTTCTGATAAAAAAAAAAAAAGTAAATCCAACTTCTTGTTGGATAGGGAAAAAAAAATAAAGCTTTCCCACAAGTAAGTCTCAAGAGAGCACCTTCTCAACAAACAGCATAGCCATGAGGTAATCTTTCTCTTTTTTATAGTTAAAATGATGTTTCACAATGGTGCACAGTGTTTGAAATGGCAAGGAATGATGGAAATTATGCCTTCTAGTTAAATAACTTATCACTAAAAGCACTCTGGAGAGCAAGAAGTATCTGTGGATTACTTTTGACTGCTTTCTCTTTATGAAGAATTGTCCATCTCTGGCTTGTAAAGTGTGATATAAGCTACAGCAATTCACAAGAACAACCTTCTCCATTCAAGCTATCAGAAAGTCTCTGGGAAAGCCAGAAGCCAAATTATTGTCTGTGTCTCAGTGTTGAATAATAATGATTAATTTAATTCCTTATATATCTATTAACCAGAAACAAACAAACAAACAAACAGAAAGGTTCTGAAAAAAATCACAAGTCAATAACCAAGATGAAAGCCATGCTGATAGGAAGTGTAAAGTGTGGACTTTGTGTGTGCCTTGGACATCTAAAAGCCATTTCCTGAAATCTATGCCACCTCCCAGTACAAGCAGATAGGGTTGGCATGATCCAGCAACCTCTCCAGACCCCTCAACCTCAGTTCTGTACCCAGCTGATGCTTTAAAAAAGCTGCAAAGACCGTATTTAGCCATTTATCACAGTAGCCACCTGCAGAGACGCCCAAGTGCAGAAGGTGTGAACTGGCTGGCTTTGATTTGACCCTTACTAACTATAGGTCAATCACTTTCTGTATGGCCTTGACCCAGGCCTTGGGAGTTACTAATTTAAAAAGAACCACATCCAGTCTATGACATACCCTACAATATAAAATAAAGTTCTTTAACACTTCCTAACCCACATTTAGATTTCTGACACAAAAGTGTCCTTTTCAGAGCCATATGCACATGCTTTCATGCATTTTACTATCTTAAAAAAAATTCCTCAAAACCTATAGAATTCTTCCAGTACAATATACAGCATCCCATTTACCTGGACTCGAATGTAAGTTTTTGTTACCACTCATCATGTGATAGGGCAGATTTTATTAAAATAATTATTAAAAAATAATTAGTTTAAGTATACAAGTCCTCAACTCTCCTACTCCATGCCTTAAGCCTGAATGTGAAACAGCAGCTCGGATCATGCTTGCAACTGGATTCTTGCTCACATTTTAAACAAGTACAGAGTTTTTAAAATGTTTAAAATTCTATCTAGTGTATCAATTTTAAAACTAGCAAACAGGCACAAATTTTAAAATATTAAAATGAGTTTATGAGGATACATACAGCAGAGAGGAAAGAGAAAGAAGGTCCACCAGATGATGCAGTTTTGTATTTCTGTACATTTACAAATCAGAATATATATATATATATATATGTATGTATGTATGAACAAAATTCAGCACCATTATTTCCAAATATAATATCTAGTTTCCATACCCTTAGTTCATTTCATCTCTCATGCTAAGGAAATTCAGTTTGTTGAGTGGTTTCAAATGCATATGTGTTGCCAGATGAAATTGTGAAGTCTCTCACTTTGTGGAGTCCCGTATGGCAAAGTGAGCTTTGCATCTGTTATTGAAATTCACAGGGCTCATGAACTATCTATTTCAACAGAAGTTTAGTATCAGCTAAGGACAGTTCTGAGGTAACCTGAGTCCAAAATTTTCAGGTAGAAATTGTATGTGTAAGCTTACAAGTCTCTGTGCAAATACCATTTTGGGACGTTATATTCTCTCAGTAAATCCCATACCAAAGATGCTATTTGATATAATAAAAAGGACTGACTGGAAGATCAAATTATGCAGATCTACATAATGCAAGAAAACACACACTTTTAGATCATTGCTCTAAACAGTTATTTGAAATTATTACTGCTTGAAATCTGCTTACTGGACAGCCATATGCAAAATGAGGTGGCAGGAGTTTCACTGTTAGAAACTCTTTGGTCAGCAAGGCTAATTTTTTATTTTATTGAGTTTATGTTGGTGGGACACTAAAGGAAATGTCTTCTGCTTTCATGCATGTTATCACTTGTCCATAAAGTTAGTTCTCCATCTTTCTGGCCTTGTTTTGAGTACTTTTTTGGTTTTCTAGTGAATGAGGTAAAGATGAAATGGCAAGGAAAGCAATGTTTATTTTTTATTAAATAATATCTGTATCTTTTTTTCACATCAACACACTTCTGGCCTTGATACCCACAGTATCTTTTTAACCTGCAGTTCAATCTTGCTCTGTAGTAACTGCCTATTACATATTATACCCATTTTGCAAAGTACAGGGAAACTGGATGGAAGCTTCAGTTTAACTTAATTTCCTTCACCTTCACAGAAAATAACCTATTCTTTTTCAGATCATAACTTTTCTTCAGGGAAAAGTTGCCTCTTGACTTGGAACATTTTGAGATAATTTTGATTACTAGATACACGTAGAAGCTGCAGAGAGATATTTTTTTCTCTTTGAATGAAGAGCAGAATAACTCAGGATCAAAAAGCACAGTTCTCATCCAGCACTCAAATTTTACTTCCATTTTCCCACTGACTCTTTAGGTGGCCTGGAGTTAATCTTGTTGCCAGTCTGGGCCTTAGTACCTTAAAGTGCACGTAAAAAGGGAATTAAAAACCCAAGTTTTTAAAGAACGCTTTAATGTCTCTGGACAGTACTGCTGAAAGAAGACTTATGGTCCCAAACCCCAAATATTTTTTTCTCCCAGCATGGAAATGTATTAGCTAGCATTATTCAGAAAGGAATAAAACCTGTCCTTCATGTAACTGTGAGTAGTTGCCAATAACTTTGGAAATTATTCATTAATTTCAGAGAGATAAATATTTCACTGGTGCTAATCCTTTACATTAATGCGGCTATACTTGGAGAAGGTTTGTTGCACAGAGTGTCTACAATTAATTTCAACTAATTAGTAGAACAATTTCAGCAGTTTGCCTTCAGCTGCATTACTCACAATTTTACCATGTGCCACTGTCTAGGTCTACAGCACAATGGGAGCATCTGCTTACTGCGTCCCGGGAGTCAACAGGCCATTGTCAATTTGGGAGCAACAGGATTCTGTGCACAAAAGAAGTGACCCATATATACTTGGCTTGGCTTTACTTTTAGAAAAGCCATATTTTAGCCTATGAAATTAAATTCTCAGTCAGAGTTTTAGGAGTGAATCATGACATCTACACAGTAGAAGCTTGGAACAAACTCCTTTTTATGTTCTTAGTCCAAATTCACGACTTCAGTATCTGAATACATTTTTTTCTCTGAAATTCCTGCTGGCTGAGGAGTAAGGTGGAGAGTCACACGTTAGTGCTTACTGATCTAAAATACTTCTGTGTCTAATTATTTGGAAAAATGAGCTTTGTGGTGTGGGGAGCCACCCTTAGGTAGAGGATATGAAAAATACTTATGGCAAATCAATAACGCAAAGTGTTAGATGTCTTTTGTCTCTTTTTTCTTAACCCCAATTGGATGCTATGCGACTCCCCCCATGGGACTTCAGACTCCCTTTTAAAAAAAGATGGAGAACAGTCAGTCTTTCCTTACCTCCCTTGAGTCACCTAATTTAAGAAGAAAAGAGTTCAGTTTAAGAGTTCAGCAGAGAGTTATACTTATGACCTATTGCTCAATTTCTGGCTATCAGAAGCAAGTCTACCCAGCCAGGGACAGGCAGCTTTAAGCTGCTCTGTCCTCAGCTGTATATGGGTTTTTTGCTGTTCTGGAAGTGTTACTGGATAACAGAATAACTGTGAGTCTTTGTGTGCATCCTGTTGCTGGAGCTGCGGTGTTCTGGCCCTTTGGCACTCACATGGAGGGATTGAGGACTGAATATTCCCTTACTGTGAAATAACCTCAATAAAATGGACCTACATAGTAACAAACTCCAGCAGGAGGATGCAATGAATCGCTGGGAATGGTTGAAAACAGACATGCAAATTTTGACACGGGTTCCCCTTTTTTCCTAGACTGGTAGGTTTCTGAATCAGTTCATATTGGCAGACCTGGCAAGCACAATCTGAACCAAGGAATTGTTTTTCCTTTGTTTCTAATATTTACATATAATATCAGAATGGCTGTTACATACCCCTATACCCTTGATGTTATCAAAATCTGCAGATTTTCCTACAGATACTAGAAAAAATTTCTAAGTCTAAGTCAACATTTCTAATTGTACACTAAACCACATTGCCAAAATACACATGCTGGTTCTGAAAAAAATGAGTTTCTGGAAAACCTAAACCAGCATAAATATTCACAATCTATTAAAAATATCAATACACCCAGTGTGAAGCTTAACTTCAAGCATGCAAAACTAAAACACTTTGAATGAGTTAATACTATTATATCCCACAGTCTTCTGTATATATAAGACATAATTGCCAGTGGGGAAGAGTTACAGAAGGGAAGGAAGCCAGCAGTGCAATTAATTAAGTCTTCAAAAATGTCACTAAAATATCATGGTGAGAACAAGGAGACAGACATTAATTCAAGAGTTTTATGCAAAATAGGTGGTAGTGTCATCCAAAGGGTCATATTAGTTTACTTTTAATTACCCTGTTACAGGAAAAAAACCCAGTGGTCTCAGTAATAAGTAGATCTGCTTCTGCAACACTTAGTAGTAATAATCCAAAGGGTATACCTCGTGATGTCTTTGAAAGGAAGCTGACATTTTCAAATAGTCATGTAGGAACATCAGAAAAGGGAATTATTAACAACTTACCTAATGCTGTTCTTGCTGGTGTGGCATCTTTTTTGATCCAAAAGGATACCCAGGAAAGAACAACTGTTAATATACAGGGAATGTATGTTTGTATAGTGAAGTATCCCATTCTTCTACTTAAGTCGAAGTATATAGTCATGACAACATAATCACCTGCAATAATAGCACAAAAAGGAAATTCATATCGTAATGGGATACAGATAGCTGTTCGCTGACCTGCAAATATTTGAACTTGCATAAAAACTTCATGTGAAATATTTTTTTAGAGTTTCAACAGCATCTGCACAGTAATTCTCATGTGAAATTTAAGTAAACCTTGCCATTCTAATATCCTTAAGTGTTAGCTCTCTGTGGAAATTATGTATTTGACAGGCAGAGCTTCTCAGCAATCATTCTGGATGAGTAAAGTTTTGAAAGGCATCTTAAATTTCCAGACGTGGTATTTCTGAATATCTTCATGGCCACGAATGTGAAGGTACTGTCATTCACCAGATTCTGCAATCACTTGACACAAAATCCTTTCTTCAGCAGGCTGTGTCTTCTGTGCCCTAATTTCAGATTTGAGTGACTTCTGTTATCTTCTTCTGAGATATGAATCTGAAAATACGGTCTTTTTGGCAAACATAACATGCACATGAATATGCCTTTACAGAAGAAGTCATTAACAGACACCAGAACTCAATGCTGGCATTTCAAAACAGTTGTGGCCATTTGTGGTATTTTCAGAAGGTCAGTCTGAACACAAGGTTTATTATTTTGTTGTATAGTAAAAACCATACATACAAGAAATCAGTAAGAAGGTTAGTTTCTCTCACATAACATGATTTTTTTTCACTGTATCTCTTCTGCTAATCCTTGTGATTCCACAGGGGATAATAATCTGTCCCTCCTCTCTCCTCAGTAGAGGCTACTGACCTTATCACCTCTGCCCTACTAACAGCTCTCTCAGCCTCAGAGATGTTCACTTTCTCAGACAGTCATGGTGAATAACAGTAATAAAACTGAACTGGGACTGATTTCTGTACTTCACTTGAAATAGGTTGCTTCCATTTCAGGTGTAAAGAGTTTATATGCCAGAGAATTTCTATGCGGTTTTGTCTGACTGCATCAGATTTGGCCTAATAAATTTTATGGCTTCTTGTTACAAACCTTAACTTTCTAGAGTATGGTAGTTGCAGAAGGCATCATTTGCAATAGTTAAGTAACTCTGTCTTCTTACAGCAAACCATCAGAAGAATGAAGAAATTGGAAACATATAAAGATTAATCCCCCAAGGAATGGACATACAACTCACCCAAGCAGAAGCACAATGGGTTTATTAGTTGATGCAAATTAAAGCTTAATCATCTAGGAACAGAGGGCATATAAATAAATGCATTTCTTACAGTGGATAATTTGACTACAGCTAAATATTATAGAGAAAATAAATTAACTCAGTAAGAGTAACTTTCATCCAAAGCATCTCTCAAGTCACTGTAAAATCAATTAATTGCTGTAAGTTAGAAACTTAAAGGTAAATAAAAATCTGATGGTGGGAATTTGGGAATGTGGGAAAAGTTCCTATATTTAAAGTACATCCATTTGAGATAGATATATTTGGAAGAGGTTGACAAGCCTGTGAATATTTCCATAATGCCTCTGTTAGATGAAAGCAAACATTTTCACAAGAATTGTGCCAGTGAAAACTGTGTAACCCCAAGAAACTGGAAAGTCATTTCAGAAGCTGTCCTTAAAGGGCTCACTCTGATTACAACTAGCAGGTATTGCAGTGCATCATGACATAGTGAGCCTTGTGGTTAAGGTTTATTGCCATTCCACTAATCCCCAGCAGTTTTCTCTGTGCAGGGAATGGCACCAGGGAATTGATGTGGTTTAGTAACCACAGGTTCTGCTGGCTTACTGTTCAGATGGTTTGCCTCACTGAAGAAAGATTTATACCACAGCAATGAAATAATTTCATAGAAACTGGTGTAAAGAGTCAGGTGGAGTGTAAACCAGTGTTTCTACTGACAGGAACAAACTGAAAAGCATGGAAGAAACGTTAATGAGTCAAATATTTTCTACCAAGGTAGAAGAATGAGCAAAAAATGAAATCAAAGACTATAGGAAATGTGTCAAGCCTTTCAATTTCTTTTACTTAGTTCCTGTATCTAGAACTGTGTGCTTATGGGTAAGCTGCCTGAGAATGGTATAAAGTCAAGCACAATCTGCACTCCTCCAATGTGTATAACAATATATGATACACACAATTCCAGTACCCACACAGGTCACTGCTCCTCTCAGTAGCGTGGTCATGGCACCCAGCACACCAACCAGGAGGAGGAGTAGTTATTGCACTGTAAGATACTGGGAAAGTAATAAAGACTCTCTGCTTCCAAGGCCTTTGATGAAAACAAACCTGATAAACATGAGAGTGGGAGAAAATTATGGCACATTAAATGATGTAGAGAGTCCATCATCACAATTAGTCATTAACTAATTTAGGGTCATTCAGGCAGGATTAATTTCCTGTGATTTTAGACATCTAGAAGGCAAATTCTGCAGATAACCTGCACACTGTGGCCTCCTTTCTACACTTAATGAAAAGAAATTCACACTTTCAGTATATAGTTTGTCTTATCTGCTTTAGAGGCACATTTTAGAAGGTGAATGTATTCAAAACATTTCCATTTCTCTCCTGTGATTAAAAAACAAGAGAGTAGGGCTGAGACGTGGACAAAAACATTGTAGACACTTGCAAATTATACAAGGAGTTAACCCCAGCCTTGATTCCATGGTGAGAGCTAAACTGGGCTATTCCTGTGAGGATGCCAAAGTTATTTTATTTAAATATAATAACCTTCTTGATGTTTTAAAGGGTATTTTAGTTATTTTCCTCCTTTTTCCAGTTAAAATTGGAAGTATTCATCCTTTAGGATACTCACAACTCCTCTCCTTCCTTCCTTCCTTCCTTCCCTCTCTCCCTTCCCCCAGCTGAAAGCACCAGTGTTGCTCTCAGAGGCAATCATGCTCCTGTACAACATATACTGAATTAATTTCTTTAATAGCTATGGTAAATTAAAATGTGCAGCTAAATTACCACTTCAGTTCTTTCCTCAGCCAAGTAAACTTCTATTGAGATTACTGGATTTTCTCATTACATTCAAGAACCACATTACATACAAGAGTATGTGCTGTGGCTACTTTCCCTACTGCACTACTCCAAACTGCATGCAGCTGCTGCTGCTGTTGCCGATGATGGTGATGATTATATTATTCTTCACATTATTCCTTCCAAGAAGTAAATATTCTCTATGTATCTGAAAGCATTGTGTACATTAAAGAAGAGTAGCCATAGTATGTATATTTTTTTCTCCATACACACAAAATTATCTGTGCAAAGAAACTCTCTTCTCTTCTGAAAGACTCCTCTCTTCTGGGATACAATTCATTCTGTACATCCTGCAGTCTCGTGCAACCCAGAGGAGGGAAACTCTTTTAAGAGCTCTGCTCAGTGCCTCCTTGTACCTTTGGAAGCCTTCAGAGCTCCTCCAGCTGTTACTGCCACTGCTAGAAGAGTAGCTGGGGGTCACTGTATGACAAAGTTCTGCGGTGCAGGAAAGATGGAAAAAATCTCCTTCCAAACTGCATGTCATTGAACCAGTGCACTCGGTTTGAAAGTAATCACACAGTGGTTGCCTAGCAAAGGACCACTGGAATAGCGAATACCAATAAACTTCATTTTTAAACCCAGAGAGGAATTCTTACCTTTTAGCAACTTAAATAATATTCCCAGAAAGGCAAACTTTGAATGAAATGATCAGCCATCAATTCCCTGAAATATTTAAAATTATCTCGAAGCAAAGTAGAGTGCGATCAGTTTTCTATACAGGGAGCAAAATGTGCACCTTTAGGCAACAAATCTGGAGTAATTGAAATAGTATAGCAACACTTCCCATGAAACCAAGATGACTGCTGGCTGTTACCCATAGGACTTATATTAGCCCTAGGTTCTAGTTTGAAAGTAGGACACTGTTTAGAACAATAATGACTTCCTATGTAATAACTGCTGTGGATTTTAATGAACAGTATTAAACTATAGCAAATTTTTTTTGACTTTTGAAGACTAAGGGTCTGTTGGCCTGAATTGCTAGAATTTTGCCTATGTTGCACCAAGAATGGCTGACTTGAAGGTAAAATGTTTGAGCAGAATGCAACTGATTATTTTATTAAAACTAAATAAATTTAAAAGTATACAAAATTATATACTGTAAATAATTTGTTTATTCAAACTATACTATACTATCTTATGTCACATTTTCATTCATCTTTCCATTATACTCTGAGGTTGACAATTAACTTAGAAAAAATATAAAATTATTAACTTTACGAAGACTGAAATATGAAGATACAATGCATACACAAAGCAGATTCAGCATGTGAGTGAAGGTTACATGCCAATTGTCCACCACTAGAACGACAGAATAATGAAGAGAGGCAGAGTTATCCATGTTGTTAATGAAACTCTTGCATGTTATCCATGCAAGAGTTTAATTTCAGAAGAAAAGCCTAGTCATTAAAATAAGGAGTCACACTGTGTGCCACAAGTATTACTTTGTTGATCAGCAAGACTACAGAGACTGAATCATCTTCCTCATTATCTTAATAAATCAAATCTATTTAATAGCAAGAAAACTAACTTTCCAGTCTTTAGTGGTTTTTTACGTTTCATTTTTTTCATTTGGAAGCCAAGAGAAGTTAATCTTGCCATTAACTATTCATGTCACCCTGAACCTGTTTTCTGATCTTTGCTTCCCAAAGCTCCATTTTATTTCCTGGGCTAGGTTTGTCTTCTTTCTTAGTCAGCTGAAAGTCTTCTAATCAGTATGTACAGAAGTTTCTGCAAAATATTCACCAGAGAGGTTTGTTGGAAGAGATGCATGTGGAATTGGAAGCAAAACTATTGTGGCAGTGCTGGTGCCAACTGGAAATGTGCAAGTTTCAGGTTCAAGACATGACTCCAGATTCTGCACTGGCTGGAAAGAATATCTCAGTTCAAAGTCAGGCAGAAACACAGGCAGTGTTACAAAACCCAACCCTGCCTAATTTAGATAATGGGAATTGTTCAGCCTGGAAAAGAGAAGGCTTCAGAAGACCTAAGTGCAGCCTTAACT